TTAAATAATCAGTGGAAAACTTCACTATCTAATAAAATAAAAAAAATATAATATCTCAGAAAACATCTGAAAATCAGTGAAGAATCTTATGAACACCTGAAAGATTGTTAAGATATATCATTAATAATGCTCTTATTTAAAAGAGCATTAATAAATAAAAAGAAGAATTTGAGAAGTGACTTCAACAGAGAAAGATTATTTAATATAGCAAGATATTATTAAATCTCTGCTTGCTCAGTCACTCTTTTCTGTTCTTTCTTCTTAAGATACTTCAACTTCTTTAATGACTGAAAATTTTATTCAAAAAATTTGTCTGTATGATTATGAAGAAGATATTTTTGTTTTTAAAGATAAAGAAATTTAACAGAAACAGCTTGAACAGCTTTAAAGATTTTTGTCTCTTCAAGTTCAAGCTTGTCATGAGCAGCTTTGAGATTTTATTAATCATAATCAGAAGATGCAGAATCAATAATATAATAATAACTGAGTTAATAATATTCAAAATACTTTATCAATTTATCAGAATAAATACTTTCTTTATTATAATGAGAATAATAAATGCAGCAAGAAGACATTATGACATTAATTTCTTTAATTTTAAAAAATAGATACTTATTATTGTGAGAAGACTTTGAAGTTATAGTAATAATATCATGAGAATATTTATTTACAGAAAGAAAAATCTTTTGAGAAATCAAGCAAGAGAATAATCACTTTTTATACTCAAGAAGAAGTACAAGTGGTTGAGAATAATATATTAAGAAAGAAGAGAATGATATTATAAATCTTGTGATACAGTACAGAAACATTATACATTATTAAAAGAGTGTATAAAGAATGTGATCAGAAAGTGATGCATGATGAGATTACAAGTTACAGACAGAAAAAACTAGAATCTGAGAAGATGAAAGTCATATGACTGAATAATCAAGATAGTAGTGACTATTTTAACTGACAGATAGCTGAATAGTCAGAATAATTATAATTATTCTAACTAGAACAGGAGAATAGAAGAGACTGCTTGAATTATTTATAATACTCATCATATATATAAGAACACTCTTTACTATTGATCAGATGAATTTGTTCATTGTGATTAATTTCTCTTACAATTCTCTCTATAGATTTATCTATACAGATACTATTATATCTTGATTACTTTTCATATTAATAAAGTTTTATGATACTGTATGATTGTATCTGCTCTCACTATTCTTGAGGAGACATAACAGTCTTGACTCAACTCTGATATATCTGTACAGAAACTTTTTGTCATTGAGCAAGTCTGCTGACTTGAGATCAAGCATCATTGAAGTATTGATCACTAAACCCCAATTTGTTACATTGAACAACAAGTTCAATAACATAGACTCACTGTTGTACATTTATATGGATAGTCTAGTTTCTCTTTAGTATAGAGAAATCAATCCACCTTTCATTCTCATATCACACTTTAAATAAAAAATTGATTCTTCTTAATAAATCAGTAAAGAAGCTTGACTATACAGCTGTAGAATTTTACAAAACATCAGTAAATATTACAGAATTTCAGAAATAATAATACTCTTTAAACTGTTAATGATTCAGTTCACTTAATAATAATTACTGTTTTTTTTTAAATTCATCTCAATGTCTTCTATAATAATAATGAATTCTGGATATTTAATATGTTGCATACTGAATTCACTCTTATTGATACTGATCTGTAGCTCAGCTTTTTATAATTATTATAAAATCTTTTTTACTTACTTCTTGTGTTTTTTTTTAATCTTACTATAAATCAGCAGATCATTCACAAATCTCATCATGAAATTATTCAGATAATTAAAGAAAATTGAATTAATATATTACTGAAAGATTTTAAGTTCATTTATGAATTTAAATAAAATTACATGATATTTGAATAATTCATACTGTATTCAGAAACTAATCAAATTCTCTGATTTCTCACTTATTCAGATTCTGTAAAATTCTTGACAGATATTAAGCTTAATAAAATACTTGACTTTATTCAGCTGATTCATCAGCTCATTAATCAAGAGCAGAAGATATTGATTATATTTTAAAATTATATTTAACTTGCAGAAATTAATACAGAAGTACAGTTTTACTTCATTATAAATAATAAGAATTAATAATGCAAAGAGTACAGTTACTGATATAATAAATTTCTTTTTCAGATTAATTTTTAAGTACTTCTTGATTATTTTCAGTTCTTTCATACTTATTTTATACAGTAGTGCTCAGTTTATGTCTCTATTTGAATTTATTTCAGATAGAAGATCAATCTTATAGTTCATTCTCTTATAGTACAGTAACAACTGATCTGAAATCTTCTTTAAAAATATATTCTGAAATTATTTATAGATTTTTAAGAGTTTTTATTAATATCAATCTTCTTATTATTTTCATTCATTTTATTAATATCTTTCTGCTTTTCATCTATTAGTCTGTCAATTTTCTGCAGTAAAGTTATATAATAGTTACTAGATGTCTTTCTCACATGTTAATTATATGCTACTGTATTAATAAATGTTATATCTGTCATCTTATATTACTGAGAACACTGATTCTTTTGCTTTTTTAATATTTTTTGAGATATTTTTAATTAATTTAAGATGTGAGTTTTGCTTACAGAATCTTTCTTTATTTATTTATATTCTTTCTGACTGTTTCATCACTCATATAGAATCTCAAGTTTTATTAATTTATCTTTACAGTTTACTTCTTCTTAATATTATAAATTTGATTTAAGTTGTTAAAGAATCTTCTGCAGTACTGACTTCAGTATTACTATTAATACAGTATTTTTCACTGAAAACTTCTTCAGTCAGAGTAATCTTTAATTAATTATATTTAAGCAGACATTATGATCTGTCAATTATTTTTATTTAATAATTAAGAGATGTTATCTCAAATTAGTAATCAGTATAAAAACATTCTCAAATTAACAATCATCTAATTATAGATGAAAAAAGACAAGATGAGTGATGAGTGATTCAGTATTTTTATTAAAGTTTCTGATACTGCATGCCTTCAGTAATCAGTGAGTATTTTCACTGTAGATTTGAGTCACATCTATCACTAATTATATGTCAATAAAAATTGAACTGTTCACTTCAGTATCAATGAGAGAATTGATTGAAATCACAACTTTATTCAATATTAATTTATTATATATAAGAAATGACTGTTCTCTTATTAAATTATTTAAATTCAGCTTTTTTAATAATACTTTTCTGCTCAGAATGAAGACTTCTTCTAGATTTATTCTTTTTTTAACTAATTATTTTTATTATTAAGTTTCAATTTCTGAATCTCTGTGAGTGTCTTGTGTTTGTATAAGTAATTATACTTTATGTGACTGAGATCTTTATAATAATGATATATAATTGATTTCAGTCAGTCTTTATTCTCAGAAGTTGAGATTATAATATTCTTACAGCTGAATGCAAAATTTTTAACTTACTGTTCTGTATTGTAAGCAGCTGTTTCAGCAGAATTTTAATAATTAATAACTGTCTGAACTTTCTTCAGAGTGCAAGCAGTGTGCAAGCAGATTTTCTGAAATTTACTAAAAATTCTGATGATAATATGAACAGCAGTCACTGCTTTCTGCATTTTATAAAATAATTTATTTATAAAATTATTCTTATAATTCTTTTTAAATATTTCTGCTTCTCTCATCAAGTGCAGGAACTTAATAATAAACTTATAATAATTATTATTATTTCTTATAATCAGTTAACAGTAATCATTCTTTATATTGAGAAATTTATTCAGATTCTTATAGATTTTCTTTAAATATTTGAACACTTTTTCTGCTGTTTAATAATATTCTGAATATTCTTCTTATATACAGAAAGTAATATAATGTGTGACATTTTTATCAGTTCAATTTTTAATATAAATAATCTTGCTGATTTCAGTAAGAAAGTGATCTGTATTTTCTCACAGTTTATTTTTTATTTTAAAAAATTAATATTCAAACTTGAGTTTCTTTTCATCTGTGAGATGCTTGAGATTATTAATCTTAATTAATCACTTTTTTTCTGAATTTAGTTAAACAAGCAGAAGTGCTTTCTCATTTCTGCATATTTAATAATATAATTATGCATGCTTTTTTATATCAATCTCATTTCTTCATCAGAGCAGTTACTTGTTTCTTCAGAATATTAATCTGATTCTGAACTTTTCTTTTAATTTATTTACTGTGTACTCAAGTTTTATAAATTATGCTGCTGATTTTATTATAGACTGTTTGTGTGTTCTGTTTTACAGCAGTATTAAAGTATTTAAAAGAAATTTAATTTATTTTGTTTTCTTGTGAACTTGAGACTAGATTGATTCATTAATATAAGAAAAAATTCAACAGCTGATTCTTCAATAGTAATAAATTCAGATTGTTTATGAATGCTGACATGTTTAAAGTCATAATCAATACTGCTTGAAATTTTTTAATCAAAAGACTTCAAAAAGAGTAAAGTAAGATAATGTTTAGTATTATAATACAATCTTAGACTAGACACAAGAACAGAAGAAGAATTTAATAAACTACTATATTAAATAGATTTAATCAAAAATACTAAACATGATAAAGAAAAGAGAAATCTGAAGTAATTATAATATATACTCTCTTGTTTTAAGCTCTTGCTCTAACTCTACTAACAGCAGTTGTCTTGAGAATTCAGTCACATGATTCTGAATTCAATGCTTCTTGACCACTCTACATCAGACCCTAACAGAAATCAAGAGATAATTGTCTAGTTTATATATGACATAGCTTGAAAGTCTATCCTCTAGTGCCAAATTGTTTAGACAGTGACAAAGGTGCAGGTGGTGAGCTACAAAATCATGTGATGATTACATTAACTTGCATTATGTGGATCAAACTCACATGATCCTCACTGTCCACCATACATAGTCATGAAAAATGTAATTGTAAATTTTCTGATTGACAAATTGAAAATCTAAAATTTTTTATTTGCAATGTGGCTGCTATGAGCTGCTGTAATACTGGTGAGTTAATCCCTTGCCTCAGTAAACTCAGGTTCCACTTGATCAAATTAACAATCCAGTTATGTCAGCTCATTATTAACTAGTTAACTTTTTCTGAGATAAGTAGGCTGTGCTGTGTCTCTGGGGCTTTTGAGTATCATTTTAATGCTGAAATCAAAGCTTCAAATATCCAAAGGATGAGTTCTACTATAAAAAAGAACCAACAAGGCACTCTCCCCTGTGCTACTCTCCCCTCCTGTCCTTCGTCCGATTGTGTTCCGCATTTTTCACTAAAAAACACTCTCTGAGTGTGACCTCCGGGTCACTTTGAGTTGCTTGCCAGATTTCGTGGGTAGCAACTGTGGTCGCGGATGGCGCGAAGACGGCCTAGCGGAGATTTTGCTTGATGAAGTTGCGAGAACATGGAAGAATGCCGGTGGTGGAGCCATAGTTGAGGAAGCGACGCAACCATCATTGAGAAAGATACTGGACTCTTTGGAAAGCCGTGTTAGCGATGGCCAGCTTCATTTGCTGCCTGGCAAGGCACACTCCAACACGTCAAGTAAGAACGACGATCTCCTTGTTACCGACACTTCCTCTGCCTTGTATGATAAAATGGATGACCCCAATTCACGTGCCAGTACCCTCGCCAGTGATAATTTGTTGTTGAGCGATCCTGGGAAGTGGTTTCGGGTCATCAATGCTTTTGAACAACCTAGAGTGATATATGACAGCGACAGACGCCATTTCGTTATGTCGCCATTCTCATCTTCCCTTTTACCGTCCTCATGCGACAGAATTGAGACTTTCCGAGATCGATATAACCGTGTATATCAGCGTGTATTACGAAATAACGCATTTCGAAAGCCATCGAATATCTCTCCCGCCTTTCGGCCAACTCAGTCCTCGCTCTCTCCCGACGGGGTTTACAACATTACTTTCGTGTCGAGTCTTCAAGGACGAAATAGCACATCGCATTTACTTCTTGGGCTAATCCACCTGTCCCCTTCGGGGGGTCTATACCTATCTGATCTTACTGGTACCATTGCTTTGAGTATCCAGCATGCAAAAGGTGTACCTGCAGGCGAAACATGGTTCGCACCAGGCATGATCCTGCTTGTTGACGGGATCTATGAGGAGCAAACAAATGCCGGCACTCAAACTAGCGCAACTTGTGGATATGAGGGCAACGTTGGGGGAAAATTTGTGGTTTTATCAGTTGCTGGTCCGCCCTGTGAGAGGAGGGAAGTATCACTTGGAATCTCGACTTCTGGCTACGCCTCTATTTCTCATGAAGGGTTCGGTTGGATGGATTTCATTGGGGTCGGGAGCGAACGCACGGAAGGAAATCGCCTGAGGCGGTTAAAACAAAAATACTCTGTGACTGAAACTCGGACAAAACTGGTGATTATGAGTGAGATCAACTTGGACAGCCAAAGAAATCTGGAAGGCCTTAGGAACGTACTCAAAGCCTATGATGCGCTCCCCCTGGCGCGGATACCTCTAGCATTTCTACTAATTGGCAATTTTGCACAACGACCTGTCATGGGCGGGAATGAGTTTGCAGATAGTATTGATTACAAAGAGCATTTTGATCAGCTCGCCCTGGTTCTCTCTGATTGTATGCGCCTGTTGCAGAACTCCATGTTCATTTTTGTGCCAGGAGACAACGATCCATGGACTTCTTGCTTCTGTGTTGGAGCAGCGCCACCCATCCCACGAGGACCTATTCCGGACCTTTTTACTTCCCGAGTGCGCCATGCATTCAACATAGCTAACGAGGAGGGTCAAAATTTCCTATCTAAAAAACTAAAAGGGAGCGCCATTTGGACAACTAATCCTGCACGTCTTAGTATTTTTGGCCCAGTGGAAGAGTTGGTTGTTTTTCGAGATGATATTTCCGAACGGCTAAGGCGTATGTCTCTTGACTTAGAAGGGGAAACTTATGAGGTACCAACGACCACCACCGGTATCAATTATCTCGGTGATCAGGATGCATGTTCAAATACTATGGATTGCACCAAAATTTCCCTCACGGGGTCAGATCAATACCCATCGACAGAAAGTGATGACATACAGGGCAACGCTAAAATTAACATAAGTGTCTCGCACAAGCTCGTCAAGTCATTACTTGATCAGGGACATCTCTCACCCTTTCCAACAACTGTTAGGCCGGTAATGTGGGATTACGCCACGGCGCTTCACCTATACCCGCTCCCAACCACTTTAATTCTAGCCGATCCAGCAGTTGGCCCTTTTACCCTCACATATGAGGGCTGTCATGTTATCAATCCTGGGAGACTTGTGGCCGATGCATCCCCTAACCGCGCTTCTTGGGTTGAATATGACTTTATCACACACAAAAGCTGTATACATGAAAGCCAGTTCTAGAAGACTCCAAGAATTCTATACATATAATTGGGTAACTGTGTCATTCAACGCGGGAAATTTGAGAAAACTTTTATAGAAAGTTTCACTTTTGGTCCAGTAGTATGTACTGTGATTATGTACTTCATACTCCATACTAATAGATGAGAAACATCTCTATTGAAATGAAGGGCATGGAGTACTCCATATGTAGCAGGTATCTTTCCTAGCCAATGAAATGATAAATAGTTTAACTGACTTGCTAACTAATTACCAAGTTATGTGATCCTCGGCTCACTTAACTACTAGTGAGTCTGTTAAGTAGTTAGTTAAGTATTAGCTAAAGTTGGTTGGCTCTCGGTACTCCATACTTGCTCTACTGGATTCTTGGTGAACCTTCTTTAACTTCCTTGATGGATGGCTCTTCAACATTCTTCATTCATCCCCAGAGGATAAAATTATCTCTTTACTCAAAACATACAACTGGCATAACACTTCTACTACACTCTAAATAAAAATGGTATGCCTGCATGTCGACTCGGCAGAGCTACAGCCTCCTAACTCTACCCAATCTGTATACCGAGAGGATTGTACTCAATGTTTTGACTCGATTGTATGCAGCTTCCAACGCAATAATGACATCCTACATCTTTACTGACTATCATTTAAGGATGAACCATCTGGGCTGAATGTTTGCCTCAGCTGTTTTAACGGCGGCTGCACTGGAGATAGAAACCATGCTTCCCTCCATCATTCTCGTTGGGGACACACACTGGCATTGAACATTAAAAGAAGACGAAAGCCCATACAGGTCTGCTCTGTAACTGACACTTGATGGTTTTTGGATATACATGGTGGCGAAGCTTGTACAACTAACCTCGTCCTGCAGCGCGACGAACCCCCGCCTAAAATGTCAAAGTTGGCCATCACACCAGTGACTGAAGAAGATCGTTATCACACTACCACGAAAGTAGTATGCTATGAATGCCAGATTGATGATATTGATATCTCCTCTTCCTCAAGACTCGAAAAGGTGGTTGATGGAGTGATGAATGCGCTCACTTTCTCTCGCAAGGAAGAAGTCAAGGCATGGGAGCTCGAGCTCACTTCCTGCGAGCATACCTTATGCCTCACCCAAGAGGGTAGTGATTTGGAACGAGTTGCACGTACGTATATTATTTTTTCGACAATGGCAAGGCATTCTGACGACTTCGTAGAACTGTCCCACTGCTCTCAATGCACTATGCAAGAAAATCTCTGGCTTTGCTTACAATGCGGAAATATTGGCTGTGGCCGTAATCAGTTTGGAGGCATGGGAGGTAATTCTCATGCGCTCACGCACGCCCAGGACATGAATCATTCTGTCTCGGTGAAATTGAACTCTATCACCCCGGAGGGGTCCGCGGATATATTTTGCTATGTTTGCAACGAAGAAAGAGTCGATCCGAATATTACTGATCATTTGGCACATTGGGGAATTATCATTGCAGACCAAAAGAAAACCGAAAAGAGCCTAACTGAAATGCAAATCGAGCACAACCTAAGCTGGGAGTTCACCATGACCTCGAATGATGGAATGGATCTGAAACCGATTTTTGGACCGGGACTCACAGGCTTGCGCAATCTCGGCAACAGTTGCTACCTGGCTAGTGCCCTTCAATGCTTGTTTTCCCTTCCTGAATTTGGATGTCGATATTTTAAGCCAACAGAACAACCGCCTGCCGTACCTCTACCAGCCGAAGATCTTGAAACACAATTAAGAAAACTTGCAGATGGGCTGATGTCAGGACGTTATTCCGTCCCAGACTCGGATGCGGTAGCACACACGAGTTCTAAGGATCTACCGTATCAAACGGGATTATCTCCAGGGATGCTAAAACATTTAATTGGTCGCGGCCATGATGAATTCTCGACAATGCGGCAGCAAGATGCCTTTGAACTCCTCTTGCATCTTTTCAAACTTATTAACCTCAGTAAACACTCTGATCTTCTAAATCCAGTGACCTCGTTCCGTTTTGCATTGGAGCAGCGGTTGCAGTGTTTATCATGTGGGAAGGTGCGGTATAAAGTTGATGAACAAGATAATATTTCAATTTCAGTTCCAGTCCGTCGTTTAAGCGAAAAAGATAACGTTGGCTCCCAAACAAGCGAAACAAAACCAACCCAGTCGAACTTTCAGCGTGTTACCATCAGGGAGTGCCTTGATATTTTTACGGCTGAAGAAGTCGTTGAGTTGACATGCTCTGGGTGCGGAAGCAAGGACGGCTTTCGAAAGCGATCACTCTTTAAAACCGTCCCCCAGAATTTGTTAGTCAACGCGAGACGATTTGAACTGGTTAATTGGGTGCCTACCAAACTTGATATCCCCGTTGAAGTGAGTGACGAGCCTTTAGATTTCGGCCAGTATCTATCGTCGGGCCCTCAGGAAGGCGAGATTCTTTTAGAGGATGCTCCTTCTCCCAAGAAGATTGACTTTCAACCGAACGCGGAAGCAGTTAACATGTTACATAGCATGGGATTCCCTGAAGTTCGTATTAAGAAGGCGCTCTACGCCACAGGGAATGTAGACGTGGACGCTGCATTGAATTGGCTATTCGCACATATGGATGACCCGGATATCGATGCACCGGGCATCTTTGCAGAACCAGAAAATGAAGACAAACAAGACTCAAAAGCGGACGAAGCAAAGGTTGATCAGTTGTTTGACATGGGCATCGATCGTTCAAAAGCACGAAAGGCACTTTTAGAAACGTCGGGAGATATTAACAGGGCCTTAGATTGGGCTTTAAACCATCAAGATGACCCTGAGCTTGAGGAAATTGAGCTAGATGGTAAACCCACCCCGGAGCTTCCTGGGTCCACTGATACACCTGCTCTTTATCGGCTACATTCCTTAATTTGCCACAAAGGGGCCTCGGTTCACACTGGGTGAGTAGGCCTCCTACAAAATGAGGTCTCGAATCTAACGTTTCTAGGCATTATGTTGCATTTGTGCACAAACAGCTTCCGAATCAAACACATCATAGCTGGGTTCTTTTCAATGATGAAAAGGTCGTTCAGGGTGGTGACATTGAAGAGATGAAACAATTTGCATACATCTATTTTCTAAGAAAATTATAGATACGGAGTACTTTCGAAGTATAGAGTATTGTTGCAGCAAATTGCCTCAACCACTCTTTCTGCTACTTCCAAGAAAGATAATGTCTGGCGAGCGCGTTGGCCTTGGTGGAACACTCGGGCGTGGAGATGACAAGGAGTCCAGTAGCTTTCTAGGAAGTCAAGTGCGGTAGAGAGAGTGAAGTTTACCATTGCGACCTCTACTCCTAGATATGTGGCGTTAGTAAACAAGCGAATATTAAATTGGTACCTTCATTCAGTCGATTGAGATTACATCTACATCAGTAGTCCTTTCTTGCTGAGCACTTTGAACATTTGTATCTGGGCTACCATTCGCGCCGTTGATGGCAGGTTTAGAGGCAAGAGAAAAACGGTCATCTTGCCCGCTTTGATTTTCAGTCTTGAGGGAGTGCCCCTCGAGTCCATGACTAACGTTTGGGATCGACTCGGTCAGCCTATCGTTTGGATTCCGAGGTGTCATTTGTGCGATGTAAGACGTGACCAAGTTATGGAGACCAAAGACGAGACGATCAACACTTGTTGAGGAAGCAATGCCACCATGGTTGATTCCCCTCCACCCGTCACCTTGAACACTGTAAATTTCATTTCTTAAACGGAGCTCTAGAGAAGGGTGATTGGACCTGTCAGATCCTCGAGTCGAATTTTGTAGGACCCAGACTACATGACTTTTCCGCTGGCTGGCGCTGAGATTAAAGCGATGGCGGATGAATGGGTATCGAATTTGATACATCTTTGCGCTGCGTGCTGTAAATTGGGTTTCGAACCATCGTGCATTCCTAGAATATGCGTCGCCGCATATTTGTTCTAAAGCGCATAGCAAGGGAAGTGTCGCATTAAGGAGCTCGAGAACCAACTTCAGACCATCTCTGTGGAAGGTGAGAATTTCGGAGAGCGATTCCCTAATGCGCCGATGAGGGTTTTGGTGATTGAAGCCAATGTCGATACGAGGGTGTGTGATTGAACTAGGATCTGAGACTGGAATAACACACGACTCCGACCTGGTTTGGGAACTTTTCTCCTCATAAGAATATCTGATGCTCCCTCGAAATTCTTTTCGTGATGGATAGGCGAAAGAAATTCGCAAGGGTGACAGAAGGAAGATTTTGAATCCTTTAGATTTCAATAGCTCAACGGCAAAAACCATGTTATCAATCTGGTGTAACCTGTCAAGCAACCTGGTGATTATGGGCAAGCCAATAGGGGTAGAGAACACCATGGTAAAGCCACTTCCGTTGGTCTGAAAGGAAAAGCCCTTGTTTGGCCTTGCAAATAGTGCGCCAAAATCGTCAACAGTGGTGGTGAATCGACCATGAACCACTGTCATAGCGTGACCAGACTGCTGGTCAATTCCTCTGTACGATATCCGAAGTCTTTCATCTAAAAACGACCGTTTATGCTTTTCGGTTGGAAACGTTGTGGAGAGGTGGATGTAAATATTAGGAACACGAAGATAAGGTTGCAACACTAGACCTTTGGTAGATGGGAAAAAGCGAATTGTAGTAAATTCACTCAAGAACTCGAGATTGGACCGGACCACAATCATCCCGGATAGGGCATTGGCAAAGCTAGAAAATGGCGTATTGTATAGACGTCCTGCCCAACCGGTTATAGATTGAGCTTCCTGCACCTCCAAGTTTGTCCAAGAAG